TGAATATTCTCGATGTTGCTGTTTTCGCGACAGCCCGTTGGGAGTCGTTCCTGAAGAAAGCGTATGGGAATTCGCAAAGCGTGGGCCACATATCACATGCCGCTGAAGCGACTTCGCTCTCGCGGGGTTGCTCCGTTTGCGCATGCCTCCTGCATGTGCAATTAGCTGCACACCGAAGGCTCCTCCGACGCCAGGCGCGTACCCGCCGCGAGAACAAAACGTGGACGCCGCAGCGTACGTGACATGTGCCTTGGCAGCGCCTCGCCATCGCTCGGACGTCCATTCCCTGTGTTTTTTTTCGGTTTCGTGCGTGGCTTGTTCGCCAAATGATCGAGGATGCTCCTCGATGGTCCTCGCCGAAGGAAAATGCACCCGTCCGAGCGATGCCGAGGCGCGCACTTCCACCGCCCCGCCATGGTCGCAATTCAGAGCGCCACCAGCTCATCAGCGCCAGCGTTCCACCCCCCGGCTCCCCGATCCACAAACTATCAGCAGTCTGCCTTGTGATCGTTTCCGCCAACCCGTGGCCTTTCAAATGGGCGGCGGTGCTGCGTGTTCGTTCTCAGCGCAATTTGTTTTCAGAACAATGAGAAAGAGGAGGAACCTTGAGGGACATGCCCGCGAAAACAAATGAAACCGCCTGTCTTCAGCGTGGGAAACAAGGGCGGCGGCGCTGGTGAAGACAACGCGGTCGCCTCCGTGGTGGCCATCGCTGCCCTGCTGATCCCCTCACAAGGACCAATATCGTGCAGCCTCCTGTCCACGACCCCAACACGGAAGCGGCCTCCGCCAACAGCAAGGCACTCCTCCTCAGGAGCGAGCGTCGGTAATCAAGCGTGCACCATGGCAACTGCCCGCCGCCAGACCGCGGCGCCGACGGCCGCCCTGCAGGTGAAAGGGGCGGCTCGGTCAGACACGGAAATTCTGTGACAATGTCGCCGTGTGACGGCAATTCCTCAACTTCTGTATCAGGGCTCCCGGCTCCAGGGCTCCCGAGCCGACAGGCAAGGGGAAAGGAACTACCTATATAAACATCTATAGATATATGGATAAACAGATATATATATATATGTATATATATATATATATATATATAGGTACACACATGAATAACAAGTTTCTCACCGTCGCCCTACGAATTCTGTGTTGCTAGCGGGCCCGTCCTGTGGATCTCTTGGGGCCGTTGTGAAGTAGTCGTTGGGGGCGAATGGGCCATCTTGGTACCATATTGGCCCGTCTCGGACACCCACAGGCCGTCCTTGGGGTTGTTTGGAGCGGTGTGGACGCCCTGTTAGGCCGTGGTGGGACTCTCGTCGGCTGTTGTTGTTTGGATCTTGAGGTGGCCCTCTTGAGGCCCTCTTGTGTTACCTAGGGCATCCCTTAAACCGTTGTGGCCCCATTCTGGGGCGCTATCGTAGAGGCCCTGAGGACCGATCAAGGGCAAGAGAGAATTTCACAATAAAGCACATATGAGTCCAGTGATGCTGGTCTCTTGGGAGCCTTTTTTGGTCCCTTCTGGCACCCTGGGCCGTCGATGGAACCTGCTGCCTGGTGTTGCGGCCGTTTTTGGCCTCTTGACGAGGCGGAGGAGGAGGAGCTTAGAACTCTCCTCGGGGCCTCGTGGGGCCTCTTAGGCCCTCCCGGGGCTCTCGGGACACGACCTCCCTGGCGGAGAGGCTCAACATGTGCCAGGATCCGTTTTCTGTGGAAAAGAAATTCTTGTCAGTCAGTGCAGCTCCACATTGGGGGCCGATCCACAAACCTGCCACAAGCAACCAAACCCTGAGACCCCAGGACGTCCATGGATTTTTGGTGTGGGAACGTAACATCTTCCATCGCACAACCATCAAAACCCAAGAAACCCAGGGCACCCTGGAGGCAAGCAGGGTGTTTCTTGGCATGGGTCCCCACCGTAGAAAGCAGACTCGTACGTGTGAAAATCAAAGCGAGGGGGCCGAACGATCCTTTACTGTCCCTGGGTGCGTGGCTGAAATTGCGTTCCGCAACGCGGATTATGCTTGTTGTGTTGCGTTGTTGTCATCCTCGCTGCACTTCTTGAGAGCTTCGCAGACTGCCGGCGACCCCGCCGCCCCTTCACTCTGATCCGCAGTTGCGATGTGCTAACAACAATGCAACGTAAGAAACATAACCCTCGCCATGGAAGCCCACTTCAGCCACGCACCCAGAGTCAGTCAATGACCCTTCGGCACCCTCACTCTGATATGTAGATATTCGTGTATGATATATATATATATACACTAGAAAGAGCGAGAGAAGGAGAGAGAGAGAGAGGCAGAGACAGAGAGAGAGAGAGAGAGACAGAGAAATATTAGCAGGGGAAGATGCAGGTGAAGAGGGACACACACACACACACACACAGAAAGAGAGAGAGAGAGAGGCAGCCAGCCAGCCAGACAAAGAGAGAGAGAGAGAGGGAGAGAGGGATGGACCACAGACAATCCAGGCAGCACAGGCAGAGGTGGAGAGAGAGAGGTGAGCGAGGGAGAGGAGGGGAGCGAGGAGGGGAAGGGGATACTTGGGGAGCGAGGAGGGGAAGGGGATACTTGGGGAGCGAGGAGGGGACGGGGCGAGGAGGGAGGAGTGAGAGAGGGAGAGGTGGATACTCAGGGAGCGAGGAGGGGAAAGGGGCGAGGACGAGGGCCGCGCGGGGCAGATGCGGCGGCCGGCGGCACGGGGGCCCGGCGGACGGCCCTGCCCGCGGCCTCTCCGCCCGCCCGCGCCCGCGCGCCCCCCACGGGGCACAGCCGCCCCGCACGAGGAGGCTGCGCGGTCGGGAGGCCAAGGGGCCCCAGGACACACACACACACACACACACACACACACACACACACACACACACACACACACACACACACACACACACACACACACACACACACACACACACACACACACACACACACACACACACACACACACACACACACAAATAAATGCACACAGATAAAAAAACAGATTTTCCCATGTTTTGGGGGGTTTTGTCTTCCCCCCCACTTCCTATGTTTTGGCATATTTTTTTCCTGGGAGTCGACGATGAATTGCGTCTGTGTGTTTCTTTCCCTCCCGAGGGATGCAAGGGGCCCTGGAGAAGGCCATGTCGACGCTGTGCGACCTGGGCGCGGCCAGCGAGAGCGGTCCCCGAAGGGGCCGAGGGGGCGAGGATGCCTAAGGATACCCTCGGGAAGGAGGGGCCGAAGGGGGCGAGGATGCCAGGGCGGCGGGCTTTGTGGGCCCCGGAAACGGCAGGGCCGTTTTTCCACCGTTTCCCCAAAAAATGCCCCTTGAAAACGGAAGCGGCAAAAAAACGGCGACCGGAAACGGCAAACAAACGGCTCCAGGACTGGAGCCGGAGCCGGAGACGGTAAAAAAACGGCGACGGAACCGGTAAAAAGACGGCGTAGGAACCGGCAAGAGAACGCCAAAACGGAACCGGTAACAAAAACGGCCCTGTCGTTTCCAGGGCCCAACAGGGTACCCGTGGGAAGGATGCCCATCCTTGCGACGCGGGTGGGCCGTGAAGTCGGACCTCGGACAGAAGGAGCGTCCCCCAGGAGCAGAGGACCCTCCGCCGGCCAGAGCACACGTGACAGCCAAGGGGGTGCACGAGAGCTTCCCACGAGCACGAAGCCTACCATGGGGGTACCCCCCCCCGATCCGACCTCGATCTGATGCCTGGGCCCATCATCGTCATCCTTTTCCTCCTCCTCCTCCTCCTCCTCCTCCTCCTCCTCCTCCACCTCCACCTCCTCCTCCTCCTCCTCCTCCTCCTCCTCCTGCCTCTCCTGCCTGTGGTAGTGGTGGTGGGGACTGGGCCCGTCAGATCCCCGTGCCAACCGGCCTGGCCCTGGCGCCCCAGTGGCCGAGATGAGGATGCAGGCTGCTCCCTTCGGGTCTCGAGGGGCCCACATCCCCGACTCGGGGGGGGAAGCTCCTCCTCCTCCTCCTCCTCCTCCTCCTCCTCCTCCTCCTCCTTAGGGAAGGTGATGCTGGGCTACCATGGCCCTGTGGGGAGGGGGGGGTATCGAGGCTGCCTGTTTACCTGGATTGTGGCTGCTCCCTTCGGGTCTCGAGGGGGCCCATCCCCGACTCGGGGGGGGGGGGGGAAGGTGGTGCTGAGCTGCCATGGCCCTGTGGGGAGGGGGGCATCGAGGCTGTTCGTTTCTTCAGATCATGGCAAGCAGCTTGCTTGCACGGAGGGTGGAGAGGGGGGGGGGGGGCGTGGCGAGGCCCCAAGGAGGAACTCTGGACTTCACATCTGCTGCGTCTGAAGTAAAACGTCCTCTGAATCAATCATTGGCGCCCGAACTGGGTACGGAAGAAATGGGTACGATGCCTAACAACACATGCTGTTCAAAACCGACAGCGGTCGCTGTCTGAGATGGACAACGTCCGTGGCGACACCGACAGCGAGTCCTGCTCAGCATTGACAGGCAATGCTGTCGGTTCCTGTGCCTAGTCTTGGCGGCGCGCACAAGGGGTTAGGGAGAGGGGTGAAGGCTTCTTAAAATGAGGCTGCTTCTTAGAAGGCGCTGGCCCTACATCTATATACAAGGCCTGCGCCTTCTAAGAAGCAACCTCCTTCTAAGAGGAGGACATTATGTCCGCGCCTGTTTCGCTCGTCCCGACCAGCAGTGCGGATCGCCTGCGCCGCTCCGCGCACGGCGCTCACTGCGCCGCGGCCGCGGCCCGCATGCAGCGCGCGGCACACGCGGCGCAACGCGCACGGCCGCGGGGCGCCGCCCAGGCGCGCCACGCTCACTGCGCCGCGGGGCGCCGCCGGGCGCGGGCGCTCTCCGCGGCGCTGCGCTCGCTGCGCCGCGGCCGCGGGGCGCCGCCCGGGCGCCCTCCGCGCGCGGCGCGCTCGCGGCGCGCTCGCGGCGCACGCGGCGCAGGTTCGCCTCCGCCTGCGCTGCGGCGGGGTGCTCTGCCCCGAGCGCCACGCGGAGGCCCTGCAGGGCCTCGGCGAGGAGGCCCTCGGCCTCGAGCAGGCGGCCCTGCGCCTGCGGGCGGGTGCGGGGGGTGTCGGCTGGCGTCGATCAGCGTCGACGTCGATGGGCGCCCAGCCGTCAGGACCTGCGCCACGAGAACATATACACGGACACCCTCCAACGATTTTTGCATGTACCTTCAGGGGTGGTGGTGGTGGTGGTGGTGGTGTAGGAAGTCGCTGGCTCTCAATGGTCATTGATACACCGCTGCCCTCCCCTGAATCCCAGGAGCAACCCATTGGAGAGTGCCTGTATGTACACGTATATATACACTATATGTATACACATGTGTATATATATACAGCTCAACGAACTATAGGTGTATATGTTTCACTGAACTATACATGTGTATATGTCTGTGTACATGTATGTGTATATACACATTTGTATATATATATATGTATGTGGCGGAGAACGAGCACGATGGCACGGGAGGCTCCCAGGAATTGTCACCGACGGAGGAGGGGGATCAATGGCTGAGGGGGAAAGACCAACTCTCTCTGTCATGAAGACATCGTGGCGGGCCCTGGAACCGTCAACAAGCCGATCTGGGATGAAAAACGGGCCCCGGGGACTGGGTCGAGACCTCTGGGGGTCGACGTTGGGTGCGTGATTCGGCGGCGGCGAGCCAAGGGGGGAAGTGGGGTAAGGGGCGGGCCTTCTCTTAAGGCTCGGAAGGCCTCAGGACTTCTGAGAAGTTTTCTGAGCCTTCCCCGGAGACACAGCAAACTTCTCAGAAGGCCGGGGGGGGCTTCTGAGAAGCCCCTGCGCCTTCTGAGAAGGCCTTCTCCATCTCACTCCCCTCCTCGCCGCCGCCGAGGGATGATCGGCCCCTGGCCACAAAAGCATGGCTGCCCATGTTGGGCATACATTGACAACTCCCTGTCGCTATGCGGTTCTGTGCCACGTCGACATCGCAAAGCGGGCGGGGTGCTGGGAAGGGCCGTGCTGCCCCTTGACAGAGACCTTGCCCAGACTTGTGGCCGCCGCGATCGCCGGGACCTCCCAATCCAACCCAGAGATCTGGTTCGGGGCCGGATATCGTGCATCGGCACGTCGCCCCCTCTTTGCCGCGTCCTCCATCGATGCTCTGCCCTCCATCCCCGCGCCTCGACAATAACACGCCATGAGTATTACCCTCCTCTCTCCCCTGACTCTGTCTGGAAGAGAGTGGTTCTTCTTATAGGCGCGGGCCACGTTGTCACCCACCTTCCGGTTCCCCTCCTCCGCCTTCCCCTGGTCCTCCTGCTCCTCCTGCTGCTGCTGTTCGACCTCGTCCTCCTCCTTTTACTCCTGCTCATCCTCCTGTCCATCCGCCAGTTCCTCCTCCAAATTACGCAACTCCCTTACTTCCCGATATCGCATACCACGGTGGGTGTCGTCTTTGGAATGCCAGGACCGCCATAACACGCGTCGCCGGACACCGAACAACAGCGCAACGGGAAAGGATGGGCGGGAGGGATAGGACGTCAGTTACGGCGCGAGGGCTTCTAGCTTGCGTCTACACTTCGCCCCTTCTCCCCTCGCCCTTCCTCCCCTTCCTCCCCCCTTCCTCCCCCCTTCCTCCCCCTCCCCACTCCTCCCCCCCCTTTCCTGCCCCTCCGCTCCCCCCCCCCCTCTCTCCCACCTGCGCCCACCCTGCTCCTCCACCCCCGCCCCTCAAAACATCACCAGGAGAAGAGAAACCGGCCGAAGTCCGCGCGGATTTGTTTTTGACCGAAATTGATACTGCTGCGCCCCGACGGCGCAAAAGGCTCCGACGAGTGCTGCAAGACCGCCCAAAAAGACTCCAAGACAGCTCAAGAAGGCCCCAAGAGGCCCAAGAGAACCCCAAGACGGACCAAGAGGGCACCAGGAGAGGGTCTTGGGGGGGAAAGTGAGATATCGAGCCTTCGTGCCCCAGACGCCCCCAGGAAGCCCCCAGAATCCTGCAAGAGGCTCCCAGAGGGCGCCAAGAGGGCGCCAAGACGCTCCTGGGAGTTCCCCAGGGAGGACCCCAAGAGGCGGCACACATGCCTCCCAGATGCCCCCGCGGCCCGCGTGGCCTCCAAAATGATGCCTCCAAGACGCCTCCACGGGGCCCAAAAACTGCCTTCAAAACTGCCTTGCATAACTTGCTCCACCGCTGCCGCGCTACGTCGCTTCCCAGAGCGCGGTGGCAGACATGCGAGCCAGCGTAACTGGATTGATAATTCTGCCGGTGTCTCCTCGTCGGCGAGTCCTGTAGCATGGAGCGGACGGTTCCTGCAGGAAACGGACATCTGAGCCTGGGGCCCTCCCCATGACGAGCCTTTCATCCTGAGCCGTGATCAGACGTGGAGGCCTCCCAGGTGTGATCGAGCGCCGATGCATCGGCAACGTCGGCGATGCAGCGGCGACGTCCGCGTGGAGAAGATCGATCTCCACATCGAGCCGCACCGGCGATGCGGCGCGATCTCCCGACTCCATCTACAGTCGGACTTAGGACATCCCTCGAGAACATGAGACCCTCCGTCGGCCAAAACAAACAGAGCATCCAAGGGTACCCTCCCCAGGATGCACAGGAGCACCCAACAAACACGAAGAACACTAGGTACTCGGGCATCCTCCTCGAACCGACCTCGATCTTATACCTCGGTCCGACTGCACTTCGACTCCATATGAGAGGCCTGGAATCAACCTGTCCTGGGGCCCGGGAGGGGCCGGGGCCGGGGAGACCCCGCCCCTGGGGGCCGGCGAACGGCCGAGAACCTCTGGACCCCTCTCTCCCTCTCTCATGGCGACCAGCCTCTGCCTTCTGGCGAGCCCTGCAGCGGCACCCCCTCGGCCCCGCCGCGAGCAGCGACGTGGGGGCAGGGGCAGGGCAGGGGACGGAGGCGGTGGCAGGGCCGTGGGGACCAGGTCAAACCTGGGCACGATGCCATCACCTCGGAACGGGCACTCCGCTCTTTTTTTTTTTTCCCCCATTGAGCCTCTGCATCAACGGTTGCCTTCTACAGACCGCACTACAGAAGCACTATGCCTGCACGGCCAGCCGAGCGTCATCGTACTGTGGCTGGAGCCCATCTAATGACAACAGAGGGTCACGGACCCATGCATAGACTGGGCATCGCTGGACGACACTGGTGCATCGAGTCCTCGGGAAGAACTTACCCCCCCCCCGCATCCTCGACGGCCCGTCCCCCCATCAAATCCGCGCCGCTGCATCCGTGCCGCGTGCCCGAATTGTGAGGGCACTCCGAGACTTCTGCTCTGCGAACGCCTCGCTCCTGTCCACGTGGGCACCCTCGCCGGGGCAACGGAAAATCGGGCGACGAATCCGTCCGCGAGCACGCAGCAGCGGAGCCCGACACAGGCGATGGCAGGCGAACGCGGGCTGCGACCATCCTGCCTCGAGGCGAAGCGAGTTGCAGTAGTAGTAGGAGGAGGAGGAGGAGGCGGAGGAGGAGGAGGAGGGGCTGCAGGAGGAGGAGGAGGAAGAGGAGGAGTAGGAGTAGTAGTAGGAGGAGGAGGAGTAGGAGGAGGAGGAGTGGATGAGGAGGAGGAGGAGGAGGAGGAGGATGAGCAGGAGGAGGGGCTGCAGGATGCACCGGCCCTCATCGCCTTCCTCCCCAGCCCACCGCGCGGCTCTCAGCCCCGCGCCGGCCCGCGCCCGTCTGCACGCCGGCCGGGCAGCAGCCCCTCCAGGCAGCCCCCGAGGGCGCCGAGCGCCCGCAGGCCGCCGCCGCGGCCGCGGCCGCGCGGCGCCCGCGCGCGGGCGGGCTCCCGCGGCCGAGGGCCCTCCGAGGCGCCCCGCCCCGCGGCCGCGGGCGGCTGGCCGGGGCGGTCGCGGCGGCCCGCCTCGCCGAGGCCGCTCCGGAGGGCCTCCCTGCGGGCGGGGCGGGGCGGGCGCCTCGTGGACCAGAAGGCCATCCTGAAGTAGTACTGCTTGCAGGAGTCCAGGTGCTTCCCGGTGCCGAGCCGCTCCTGTGCCGCGCGGTCCAGGGTGTAGAAGGCCAGGTGGACGGGGGGCCCACCGCAGAAGGTGTCGAAGCCGAGGCGGAGCCCCGGGAGCACTCCGCAGATCTCCCATCTCACTTGGTCCAGGAACTTCGCGATGCTGAAGAACGCGACGGAATACGCGTACCCTTCCCTGAATCGACAGGCCCTCACGGTCTCCGCGAAGTTGCGGTCCTTGCCACGCCGCAGGCCCAGCGACTGGAAGTCTGGGTCAAGCAGGCTGGGCGGCTGCTGGCCTGGAGGCGTCTCGATCACCTGGTCGATGGTCCAGATGGGCATCACAAACACGGGGCGCTCAGCCTCGCCCGTCACCTCATCGGGATCATCGCCCACGCTGTGGTGGAGCTCCCTGCCCACGGCCATCCTCATGGCGGACACCGTCGCGGCCAAGGCGTGCTTCGCACCCGCAGCAATGGGGACGTACTGGTCGTTCTCGATGCCGAACAGGAGCGGGCCGCGGGGCTCCCTCTTGATTCGAAGCTGGCAGCGGGCCTCCCAGAGGTGCCCGCGCCCCTCGAAAACCTCAGAGTATTGGTACTCCCCTGACTTGTTCAGTGCCGGGTCGTTCGTCGGCCTGTGGAACGTGATGAACTCGCCCTCTGCCATGTCGTTCGAGAAGGTCGCCAGCTCGTTGTCGTGGACCATGCCGCCGACGCCCTCGCCAAGCTGCGAGAGCATGCGGCCCTGAATCCTCCACTGGCTGCGCGGGACGTCGACCTCGCCCGGCTGTCCGGCTGGCACCACGGGCACCGCCGAGCGGCCCACGGCGCGCCCCGAGCAGCCCTGGGCGGCCGCGGCAGTGTGGCGGCCTCGGGTCTTCCACGCCTCCTGCCTCTGCAGCCAGCGAGCCACCAGCGCGCCGCACAGCGCGCCGAGCGGGAAGAAGAGCCAGGCCCAGGGCGTCACCACCTCGCGGTGGCCTTCCCAGGCGTGCCGCAGCAGCCCGAGCATGTGCCAGAAGGCCGCGCGCCCGAGGCGCGAGGCTGTGGAGCCGCTCGAGCCAAAATAGCTACGGAGGGAAGGGCACCCCGCTCTTGGGAGGGTCCCTTGGCAGGCCTCTTCAGAGCCTCGATCCCAGGGTCTGAAGGACGAGGTGGGCGCTCTCTGCTCAACTTCACTGCATTCACGGTGCCATTACACCCACACCACTTGCACAACAGGACACCACGGATCACCAAATTGATGCGAAGCGTGCGCCCTGGGATACAAAGGGTGCCCGAGGGGGGTCTCTTTGGCCAACGCACGCGCACCACTAAAGGGCCCAGGGAGAAACCGCCTCGAGGGACCTCTCAGGGGGCAAGCGCCGATCCCACATATCACACTTCTGAGTGTCCCCCTTCTTTCGGCGGTGGACAAACCTCCATTTAGTAAACCACCCCTTAGTGAAAACGGCCTGGGACCGAAACCGAAGGACCTGGACCCGCAAAACGAAGGCCGCGACGCCCTCTCGCGAACCGAAAACGGCCAATTCGCTAATCAACGTGTCAGGGTAGGAGCTCTGTCCACCCCCGATTCTTCTTACAATAATGGCCAGCAGCACGGATGCGCTCCTGGCGGCTACAGGAGGAGCAGGGGGCTCGGGGACCGGGTGCGGCACGGCCGACCCTGGCGGCGCTCTCCTCATATGCTCGCCGCGGCAATCTCCAGATGAGTTCCCAGAGGTCTACGTAACACAGAGTGGGTGGAGTCCTGCGCGTGGACTTGCCTAGCAAGAGTTTCGCGCACGACAAGCCTCTGCGACCCATCCCCATCCCGCGACAAAAATCAGCACACCAATTCAAAACATGCTCATCCGACCCAATGCCGAAGTTCTCCTACATATCTACACTAGCATGCGATTCAGTCCAAAGCAGAGTGATCTTGCCAGGGCCACGCCGATCGATAGCATTCCAGATCTGGGTTCACAGATCCAGCATCAGGGATTGCTGAGATATATGAGCCAACGACTTGCGCATCGCGCGGCAGAGTGGTAAGTATTCAGTATAACAGACAATATCACAACGGGTACGATTCATGACCACCGAGACAGCGAACAACTCGGCACGCGGACTGGACTGCTCAGGAGTCGGGAGGCTGCCACTTGCCACCGTACAAAATCGGTTTTACCCATCTCGAGGTTCCCCTAAACAGACCGAGGACCATCCACAACGACGCAACCGATGATCGAGAGCGTGTTTGCCTCCAGAGCCGTCAAGGCCCCACTTCCCTCCAACCACAATCAGGGGAGGGCACGGAGAAGGGGAGAGAAGCGGAGAAAAGGGGAGGAGGAGGAGGAGGAGGAGGAGGAGGAGGAGGAGGAGGAGGAGGAGCAGGAGGAGGAGGAGGAGGAGCAGGCGGAGGAGGAAGAGAAGGAGGAGGAAGAGGAAGAGGACGAGAGAAGGAGGAGGAAGAGGAAGAGGAGGCGGAGGCGGAGGCGGAGGAGGAGGAGTTCTCCGCGATCTGTCTGCCTTCACCTCTGTACAGCTACCTACACGTAAACATACGCGCGCCGCAGGTGATCCACCGAGCGGTGCTCTAAAGGTCACCTGGCCCTAGTTTGATCAAACCGCCCAGGGCCGAGTGGCCCTGGAGAGGTCTACGAACGACGTTGTTGTCAGCCATCAAGAATCAGGAATCAGGAGGAAGAGGAGGGGACGGTCCCGGAGACCAAGGTCCGCAGCTCGAAGCTCCAGGGGGACGGGGCGGGAGGAGGACGACGACGAGGACGCCGACCCGCCAAGTCCTGCAGCAGCATCCCCAGCCCCCCCGCGGCGAGCAGCGTCGTGGGGTGCCGCGGCCCCAGCTCGGCGCGGCCGCCGAGCAGCGCCTCCTCCAGCAGCGCCTCGGCCTCCTCGGCCTCGCGGCGCGAGCCCTGCGTCGGGGGAGGGCGGGCGTGGGACACACAAATAAATACACACAAGTAACAGAACTCCCAATCATTTCCTATATTTTCCGTGTTTTTGTCGCCCCCCCACTTCCCATATTCTCCTATATTTTCGGGGGAATCGACGATTCATTGTGTCTTTGTGCTTTCTTCCCTCCTGAAAGGAGGGGGGGCTTTTTGTCGCCCCCCCACTTCCCATATTCTCCCATATTTTCTTGGGAATCGACGATTCATTGTGTGTCCGTGTTTTTTCCCTTCCTGACAGGGGGGGGGGGGGCACCGGCGGGCCGCCGCCCTGGCGCGGCGGCCTCCCGCCGGGGGCTGCCGCCCTCGCCCCTCTGCCGATCGGTCTGGGGTTACGTCGGGCCGGTCCCTCTACAGGAGGGGTGTTCAAAAATAGTTACAAAATCGTCCCGGGGCGATTTTTTGACGATTCTCAAAGAGTTGGGGCATTTCTGGGGAATTGTTAATTTTTCGTCCCAAAGCCCCCTGTAGGGGGACACGCCCGACTTAACTCCGGGGCCTTCGGACGGTGTCGTTGCCTGCCGCCGTTCGGACGTCTCTTCCCCGCGCGCTGTCTGGTTTCGCACGTGCCTCTTTTCCTCGATAGGGTCCTAACTGATTTTCGGTGGTCCGGAGGTTTTGGCGCCGGCCTCGCCGAAGCGGACGCACGCGTCCGATCGATGCCAATTTGGCCGTCGGCGGTTTTGGCCACGGGGTGTTTGTTTTCCAGGCGGCGACAGCGGCGGCCCCCGCGACCTGGCTTTGCGAGGCGGGGATGTGTGTGCATGACCACCGCCTGGGCATCGTGATCGTCGGGATCGTCGTCATGCGGCGGTTGGGGGCGCGACGTGTGTACACAACCACCGCAGAATCGATTCGGAATGGCATGGGCGCGGCGAACGCCGGGGCGCGAACCCCAGTTCAAACATCCGAAACAATTCCCACATCAGGAAAACAAGCTCCAAACAAACGTTCGGTAATTCCAAGTGGGCAGAAGTGAAGCGGCGAGCAACAGGCACGAATGCTATCATGGGCATGAATCGAAGAAAAAACATGTTCGGAAGTCCGCGCGGACTTTTTGGATCGGTCGCTGTATTATCCCTCCCTGGCGCGTGGAACGCAGCAACGGCGGCGCTGAATGCGCCGCCAAAAGGGTCCAACGCCGATCTGAGAAATCCGCACGGACTTCCGACAAAGTGTTTTTGTGTTGTTCGTTCTTCTGCGACGCTCTAATTCCGAAGTTCAATTGAAAAGTGTGCAAAGTAAGCGCACGTTGGATATCACCCTACGCTTCGGCCAGGCAAACTGGCGCCGATACGACGGGCTGAAGAGAAATCCGCCGATCCGGCGTGTGAGTTTCAAGGAGTCTCAGCTACAGCCTCGAGGCTGAGCCTCAGCCTCTGGGGGGGTTGCCGGGGTGGCTCTGCCGGGGAAGGGGGGGGGGGGTGGGGGGGGGGGGGTGCGAGTTTCCGGCGGATGCGTTTTTTTGACACCCCTCACAAGGATCGTGGCCTCCGAGGGGGTTCCGAACTCGAGTACCACCCCTCCCGCACCAAGAGGCTCCGAGGAGGCCTCCAAAAGGCCCCAAGGGGCGCAGAAGAGGCCCCCAAGAAACCCCAAGAGGCTCCCAAGAGACCCCCAAGAGGCCCTCTAGTGGCCCCAAGAGGCCCAAGAGGAGAAGCCCCAAGAGGCGCCCAAGTGGCCCCCAGAAGTCCCAGCCACCCACGAGATCCCAACCAGCATCCATGAGGCCTCTGACCCACCACCCACGCACGGTGGCGGGATAGGCCGACGGCCACTGGATAAATGCTGAGTGAGAGAAGGGGAGGGAAAAAGAAAGGAGGGACGAGGGCGAAAAAGGATCACATCAGTCGGAGCGCCCCGGATCGGCGGCACTGGCCGAAGGCCACTACAATAGTTCTCGCGAGTTACGGCGGTGCCGTAGCTCGATCCGCCTCACGTAACACCTGTTGCTCTGCAGCGCGACCGGGTGCGCGGCGTTGAAATGGGTCGATCGCCTGTTTGCACTGTCTTTTGGAACTGACTGAATTGACCGCTCTGGTTCGCAGCGCAACGTGCTGCTGTGCGTCTCACTGCAATGCTGCGCATCGTTCTGCGTTCGCCTCGCGTCACGACGCAATGCTCTTCAGAGGGGGAGGTCCTCGAAGAACGCGCGCGCTGCGCGTGCGTGCGTGCGGGGGGGCGGATGGGGGGGCAAGAACCTGGGGGGGAGGTCGTCAGGGCGGCGTGCTCTAGGGGCACATCGCCGCCGACCCCGTCGCGCATATGGAGCCAAGAACCGCTCCGCGTCAGCCGGCGCCTACTTGATCGAAGCACGAGATGCAGATGCCAAACCGAAACTGGGAGAGATGATCACGTTGAGAAACTCAGAGATGGGTGCGCCAGGATAACGGAGACTGACTGGAGAGGCGAAGCCAACAAGAAGCATCGGCACACCCATGAGATATCCAGGCGTCACCAGGGAGGCCAAAGCACCGACCCAGGGCATGCGCACTGGCCCTCGGCACGTTCATGCCTCTGCTGCTCCCTGGCGCTCACCGGGGAGGGGCCGCGGGTTTGAGCCGGGCGCTGGCGCGGGCGGGCGTCGTGGTCGTTCGTCCGTCGTGGTCCTCGCGCGCGCCTCCCTCCCCTCTTGTTTTCCGTCCTTCCGCTGGGAGGGGGGGGGGGGAGGCTCAACTCGCGACGAGAGCGGCGGGCGGCCCCCCCCTCTGGGCCTGCTGGCACAGCAGCCGCCCCAGCTCGAGCATGCACTCCAGCGCCTCCGAGCACCGCTCCACCGGCCCCCGTCCCCGCTGGCATGGCCTGAGCCCCACTGGCCGACCTGCCCTTCAGGGTGGGGATCTGCGCTGATCCCTTCGGGTCCCGCGGGGCGCAGTCGACCCGAATCACAAGGACGCGCGATAAGGATGCAAGGTCCTTGGAAGGCCGCTTCGAAGCTTCTCGAGCGGGGCGCGGCCAGCGAAAGTGGTCAAGGACGGACCGAGGAAGCAAGCATGCACAGGTACCCTTGGGAACGCTGCCCATCCTTACCATGCGGGTCGACTGCATCGCCACCAGGGGGTGTTGGGCGCCCGAATTATCCGGGGTACCTCGGGCCCTGGGTTACTCGGGTTCGGATTCCCGAAAAACGAACCCGAGCTAGCCCTGACCCGAGTTACCCCTGATGATTCGGGGCTCTGGACGCCCGCACTATCCGGGGTAACTCGGGCCCGGGGCAACTCGGGCTCGGATTCCCGAAAGACGAACCCGAGTTAGCCCTGACCCGAGTTACCCCTGATGATTCGGGGCTCTGGGGGTGGGTGGGCTGGCGGGGCCGAGGCACCACGGCCCAGCAGGGATGGGGGACGGGGATCGCTCCGCCACGGTGCGCCGAAGAGCGGGGCCGCGAGGAGGGGGGCCACGCCTCGTGGCCCGAGGCATGTGCGCGGACGACTGGGGGGGGGGCCAGGGGAGAGCTGGCCATCGCTCGGACGTCCATTTCCTGTTTTTTTTTTGGTTTCGTGCGTGGTTTGTTCGCCAAATGGTCGAGGATGCTCCTCGATGGTCCTCGCCGAAGGAAAAATGCACACGTCCGAGCGATGCCAGGGAGAGAGAATGGCTTCTTGAAAAAAGGCCGCTTCTCAAAAGGCGCAGGCCCTTCATCTATGGAGAAAGCCCGCGCCTTCTAAGAAGCAGGGGCGTTTCTACTGAGCCTCCCCACCCCCCCTACCCCACTCTTCGCGTGGCCGACAAGAACCGACAAACAAAGTCATCACCCCTCTTGGGTCCTCACCCCTCTTGGGCGCCCCCGAGAGAGACGATGCTGGCAGACCAAATATGTACCTATACCGCTACGCCGTGGACCTCTCCCGGGGTGCCTTGTGACCGGAATGTTTAGAACATGCAGCCGTGGCGACGAGAGCTCGCCAGGACGAGACACGGTATCGGTGTACCTTCCCTGAGATCCGACGCTGCAGAAACATTTCAACATCGCAAACAATGACGACTGGAGCTGTAGACCGTAGACCCAATTTTGCTGAGTCGTTTCTCGAGCCGGATCGATCTGCGATAGTCCGGGCCTGAAAGCAAGCGAAAACGGCCCGTGTAAAGAAATGCAGCGCCAACATCTCGGCGTTTGCCTCCCCTGAGCTGATGGCCCAAGATGATCCCGCGGGGATCCCCGGCAAGCGGCAGGCGGGGTTCTGGGACAGGGGGTGCGGGGCGAGAGCTCGGCGGCTTTCGAATCTGGCGCTCGAGCGTGGGCCGTTTCCAGAAATCCCACCCCCGGTCGCGGCGCCCCGTCGGCAAGTCTGCCTCGCCACCTCTGTGGTGGTCGGGGATGGGGGGTCTCTGTGGGCTGCGGTGAGATGCCAGGCCCTCGACCCGCTCTCGAGAGCCAGCTCTTCCCCCCGAGCTGCTTCTTGACGGTCCCAGGGCCCCGCGAGGGCCTCCGAAGGCCGACAACAAACGAGAGCAACCGGCGTAACATGCTCGCGGCGCGAGCACGTCTGAGCATTGAGAGGCCTCCCAGATGGAGTCAGAGTGTGAAATTGGGGTCGGGGGAGCACGCCTGGCGATGCATCGGCGCGGAGAAATTCGGGCTCCACATCGAGCCGCATCGTCGATGAATCGGCGATGCGGCGCGATCCTTCGGCCCCATTCATGCGGACACCATCCGGGGGGCCTAGATCGACGAGCAAACAACTGCATAGACAGAAACTTTCGGAGGTCCGCGCGGATTTGTTGTATCGGCGCTGGGCCCCCCTTCCTGGCGGGGGCCGAGCGCCGATCCGAGCACTCCGCGAGGAGCTCCGAAAGTTGACGTTTATGATGTTCACTGCTTCAGGAGGCCCAGGCGTACACCCAAGGACGACGTACCCCCAGTGAGGGGTGGCAGTGGCCACGGCTCCAGCCATGGCAGGAGCTCCCAGGATCGAATCGACAAGTCGAATCGGCAACCGAAATACATCGGATCGGGGGGAATCGGCAGCCAAGTCGGGAAAAGACGAATCCGCAGAAATCGGCAGGCTGGTAGGCCTCCATTGAGAGATCGGGGCCCGAATCGGAATCCGAAGTCGAATCGAATCGGGATCGGAAATCATCGAGATCGAATCGCACCGAATCGGAGGAATCGAAACGAGCCCTGCCATGGTGGGCGCCAAAACGCAGCGGCTGATCGTCCGCAGGTGGGCCCTGAGGCCCCCTCTCCCAGGGAGGGAGGGAGGAAGGAAGGGAAGGAGGGAGGAGGAGAAGGAGGAGAAGGAGGAGGAGAGGGAGGAGGAGGACGAGGAGAAGGAGAAGGAGAAGGAGAACGAGGAGGAGGAGTCAGAGAACGAGGAGAAGAACGAGGAGAATGAGGAGGAGGAGGAGGAGGAGGAAGAGAACGAGGAGGAGAACGAGGAGAATGAGGAGGAGGAGAACGTCGACGAGGAGGAGGATAACGTCGACGAGGAGGAAGAGGAGGACGACGAGGAGGAGAACGACGAGGACGAGGAGGAGGAGGAGAAGAAGAACGAGGAGGTCCAGGGTACGCTTGGCCTCCCCCGATTGCCCCCCTCCCCAGAGCTGCCGAGCCTCCGCGCTCCCCCGATTGCCCCCCTCCAGCGAGCTGCCGAGCCTCCGCGCTCCGGCCCGCGTCGCGCGCCCTCAGCGCCCGCAGCGCCTCGCGCAACACTCCGCACGCCTCCGCCGGCCGGCCGAGCTCCTCGTGCAGAGCGGCCGACAGCCGCGACACGCGCCAGCAGGCCGGGCGCGGCCCATCGCTGGGGGAACAAACAGAGACGAAGGGGCCCTGGGACACACAAATAGATAGACACATATAACAGGATTCCCATATTTTCATATCTATCTATCTATATATATATATATATATATGTTCTGGGTTTCTGTCTTCCCCCCCACTTCCCACATCTTCGCATATTTGCCTGGGAATCGACGATTCAACTGTGTCTGTGTGTTTGCCCCTCCTGAAGAGGTCCTGGCGCCGCAGCGCCGTCACGGCGCGGGCCTTTTCGGCCGACGTCGGGCCACGGGGCCCTCACGCTCGGCGGCGAGCGAGGGGGGGGAACGGGAAGGAGGAGGCCTTCTAGGAAGGGGCCCCAGGACACACACACACACACACACACACACACACACACACACAAATACACACAAATAGAAGACTTCCCAATATTTTGTCACAGTTTCTGGGTTTTTGTCTTCCCCCCCCACTTCCCATATTTTCCCATATTTTCAGGGGGGTGGACGATTAATTGTGTCTGTGTGTGTTTTCCCCCTCCTGATTCTCGAAGGCGGAGGGACTTCTCAGAATCCCTCGCGCCCTCTGAGGCGTTCTCTGTGCCTCGGGGAGGGCTCAGACAACTCCTCAGAAGGCTGGGGGACTTCCGAGCCTTCTGAGAAGGCCCGCCCCTTCTCACTTCCCCACTTCGCTCCCCGCCGACTCACAGATCGACCCGGCTCGGGCAGGTGACGCAGAAAAAAACAAAATCCAGGACGGTGCTGGATGTCTCGCCATGATGTAGCTGTTTTGCAACATCGGATCTGCGGGCAGGACGAGAACGATGTCATGATCAGGGACCGACCGTGCCGGCATTCCCGGAGGCCTTCCACAAGATGTTCTTAAAACCCCGAACAGGTCTAAGAACCAAACGAATGTTCTTAGAACGTAAACCCGATGAGCTAAAACGAGACAATCCCAGCCAGAAATGTTCTAAGAACAATTCGTGCAAACCACAACCGGTTCTCAGAACATTCTTTGGTAGGCCTACAGGCGAGCCAGGACGCTTTGCCACTGCTTCAACGATGTCATGATAGGATCGGCTCAGGATACGGTTCAAGATTCCCAGAGCATCCAGCGGCTGTCTCGGCAGCCCGTGTGAAACCTTCGGGAATCCTGGACGCCCTGAAAGTCTTGCAACGTATCACGTCTCACTTCCCCCCTCTCACTCGCCGCCGAGTGACCTCGTGCTCATCTGAAGCAAATGACGTAAACATCAAACCTCTGGCCGCCGCGCGAATTTCTTGGCTCTGCGCTGGAGTCCCCTGGCACCGCGCCGCCCCTGGCGCGACCTGTGTGCCAGGCAGGGGGGTACAGTGCCGATCCAAGACATCCGCGCGGACCTCTGAGCTTCTTTGTCCATTCGGGGGCGACGATAGGGGCGAGTAGCCCAGGGGGGAACAATACATCTACTTTTCCAATCGCGCCGACAGTCCATGTCTTCGGCGAGGCTCCCTGGCGAATACGTGAATGTCCGTCCCTAACTATCCGCCTCAAGCGACGCCACCGCTGCATGTCATTGTTTGTTCCCCGAATTGCCCCGCGCGCTCGCCACTGCCTCCTCCTGGGGCAGGAAGCATCCCGAGTGAGCGACGGAAACAAACGGGTCTCACAGGAGGCGACCTAACGACCCTACGCCACGGCTTGCGCGGGCCACAGTGGAAACGACGGCGCCTGCGCGCGACCTTACACGCGCTGCTTACGCGCGAATGGTCACGCAATCGAGCCAGGTGCTTCTGCGGCGCCCTCCGATTATTATGATGATGGTAATGGTACTGAGAATGATAATGAGAAGGATTATGATCATCATGATAATGAAGATGAGAGTAATGATGATGATGCTGATGATGATGATGGTGATGTTGATGATGATGATGAAACTGATGATGCTGATGAAGATGAAGATGAAGATGATGATGATGATGATGATGATGATGATGATGATGATGATGATGATGATGATGATGATGATGACGATAATGATAATAATGATGATGATGATGATGATGATGATGATGATGATGATGATGATGATGATGATGATGATGATGATGATGATGACGTGTTCTCCAGCGCTGCTGAATCGGGGTCTCCCGGAACAGAGGCCTCTCAAATGGGGTCCGAGTAGATTCCAGACGGCCAGAGTCTCGACAGAATCGAGACGTAGGTTCTCTATCGTGTGCGGCCTCTCGGGGTCCTCAACAGGCCTCAGGGCCGTCAAGAGACAGGTCAATCTGAGATGCTGGTCCAAGGGGAAGTGGTCCTTAGGTCGGGGGCCGTGCCTTGAGAAGATCGAGACGCCAGATGTCTAGGATGGGGTCGAAGGATCGCGCCGCATCGCCGATGCATCGCCGATGCACGGGCAAAGTTCGTGATGCATCGGTGACGTCAGCGTGAAGAACATCTGGCTCCACATCGAGCCGCATCGCCGATGCATCGGCGAAGCGGCGCGATCCTCCGACCGGTAGATGGAAGAGCCTTGAAATCTGGGAATTGCAACTTTTTCGCACTGGGCGTTTGCGCCCGGTCTCGGGCCCCGGGACAATCACGGATCGATCCGACTCGAACATTGGCGGAGAAAGATGGGGCCTCCATGTCGGATATCAGGGATCTCAGGGAGGGGCAAACAAAACAGCTGCTTGAATGGCAGCGGTAGCGAACGCACAACGCCTCCGAAGCTCAAGCGTGGGCGCTGCTAGGCGAATTGGTACACAGGCGGGCGGTGGGCCACAAGCGGGCGGGCGGAAAGACGAAGTGCACACATCAGCACACGCGCGAGCTCTGGGAGGCCCCCGCGGCCTGTCTCGGGTCGCCGCCGCCGCCCCCCCACCCCCCCTCGGGGGTGCACCGACCCGCGTCGATGCAAACTGCAAGGTCCTGCAGGATCCGCGCGCAGGCCTGGGTCAGTGCAGCCCTATGGCTCTGCAGGATCCTGCACGGTCCGGCGCTCTGGCGGACCCCCGTTTGCACTGCCCCCCGTCTCGGGGCTCCCGAACCCCCCCCCCCTGGCGGGGCCTCCGGGGCATCCCCTGGCGCGCTCCGCGCGCCGAGGAATGTCGCGGGGGAATGTCGGGCGGGTTGACCATCGCTCGGACGTCCACTTCCCGTGTGTGTTTTCGGTTTCGTGCGCGTGGTTTTTCGCCAAGTGATCAAGGATGCTCCTCGATGGTCCTCGCCGAGGGAAAAACTGCACACGTCCGAGCGATGCGACCTGCTTGGGGGGGGGGAAGAGAAGGGGACCCTTTCGGGTCCCGCTTGGAGCCAGCAGGGGCCCACAGGGGGCCCGAGAGGGCCACCTCACTCGCCATCGCTCGGACGTCCATTCCCTGCGCTTTTTTCGGTTCCGTGCGTGTTTTTTTTGCGCCAAGTGATCAAGGATGCTCCTCGATGGTCCCCACCGAGGAAAAAATGCACACGTCCGAGCGGTGCCAAGCTCAGGGTTCCCTTCGCCCCGCACTGACGTCCCCCCCCCATTGGGGGTGTGTGGCCAGGCGCCGCTCAGGGAGGTGCGAGCCGGGCCTCCGGCAGCCTGCGCGCCTTGCCCAGAGCCCCGACGTCATGGTTGCCGATCGGGCACACCCACAGGAAGCATGAAGCAGGCAGAATCGGGCACACCCACAGGATAACAGAAAACAACAATGACATATTGATTCCTGAAGAAGTAGGAAGGCGCTTGAAGTGGATTGGGATCTGGGAATCTAGAAATACCTACTTTCAACGACCGGCGAGTATTCTTAACGTCGACCCCTAGAGTTCTAGATCCCTTCCTCGGGACCAATCGAGCCGTTCTCCTGCGGTCCCCGGGCCCGGCGAGGGCGCACAGCAGCGGAAGACGACCACCAGCCGTCCGCCGTGACTGTCTCACGGCCCGAGGGGGCCTGGGTTTATACCCCCTCCGCTTCCTCCATCTCCGCCTCGTCGCCAGGCGACGGGGCTGGTGCTTGGTGGATGTCGTCGGCCGCGGCCGCCAGCGGCAGCAAGCGGTGGCGCGCCAGCGCGCCGACGGGCACGTCGGCGGCCCACGCCTGGAAGGAGTCCCGCTCCTCGTCCTCCTCTGGCAGGTGGGAAACACTACACCAACATGTGTGAGCTCCGCGCGGATTTCTTTGACCGACGCTGGGCCCCCCATGGCGGCGCCTCCGGCGCCGCCCCTGGTGCGCTCGGCGCGCCCCGGAAGGGGGGATGGTCCAGCGCCAGTCAAGGAAATCCGTGCGGAGCTCTGCATAAACGTATGTGGATGCCACTTTCTCGTTTTCGATCCTCGTCCCGCAGGTCCGCCCTCCTCCTGGCACCGTCCGCGAAGTAGCTGAACGCAAGGGCCCACCTCCGGCTGCGTGCACGAGTGGCCTCTGGCCATCGCTCGGACGTCCATTCCCTGTGTTTTGTTTCGGTTTCGTGCGCGGTCTTTCGCCAAGTGATCAAGAATGCTTCTCGATGGTCCTCGCCGATGAAAAAACGCACACGTCCGAGCGATGCCAAGCCACCTCCGGCGGCGTGCACGAGTGGCCTCTGGTACGCGGCCCCAGAGGGCCGCGGGCGGGGGGGAGTCCAGGCGCGCACGCCAGGGAGGGGTGGGTGGCCTCCTGGCCCCGCACCAGGCTACTCTGCTGGGCATCGCTCGGACGTCCATTCCCTGTTTTTTTTTGTTCGGTTTCGTGCGTGGCTTTTTCGCCCAATGATCAAGGATGCTCCTCGATGGTCCTCGCCGAAGGAACAATGCACACGTCCGAGCGATGCCAAGTCTGGCGACGGGCTGGAAGTAGATGCCAGTCCACAAGAAACCTCCCACAAGAAACCCAACCCCGAGACCCCGCCAGGTCCGTCGACCTCTGGCGTATGGGAAAACGCCGCCCCTTCCACCGCAGACCCTGCGAGACCCCAGGACGAGACCAGGGCGCCCTGGAGAGGCAAGCGGGGAGCTTCTTGGCAGGGGGGCCCCACAGCTGTACAGTCGGGGCGCTGAAGAAGGAACCCTTTTCGTTGGAGAGGGGCTCCGTGTGCCTTGCTTGTTTCACAGCTTGCCTTAGGTTTCCCTCAGGGTCTCGATGGGAAGTCGAAGTTTAACTCATGGAAGAAAGGGGCCTCGTTCCTCATTTGGGGTTCCTTAGGTCAACGCCCCGACTGTACTCTCGCGCGCCACCGACCACCTCTCCTCCGCCGCGCCGGCCCCCAGCTCCGGGGCGGCGTGCAGCGTCCGCCCGTGGTGGGCGGCGGCGTCGCCCAGCAGCAGCCCGCCGGGGTCGCACACCACGCCGCGCCACCCGCCGCCGGGCCGCAGGCTGGCCCGCCGGTGGCTGCCGCTCGCGTAGAGCAGGGCGGACCCGCCGTCCTCCGCGGGCCGCACGGCCTGCAGCGGCAGCCACAGGGTCAAGTACCGGACCTGGGGAGCCCAGCAGCGCACCCCCGCCGCCACCCGGGCCTGCCTCGAGGGCCAAGAAGTGGCACCGGGACCTCGACGTCCGCAATCCAGTCGAGGTCTGGAGCAGTCCAGGTGGGTCTGTAGGTCTGGCGGGCTATCCTTCTTGAGCAGGGACCGACCGTCCCGGCATTCCTACAGTCCTACCACGAAATGTTCTTAGAACCCCAACATATTCTAATAACAAAAGCACTGTTCTTAGAACATCGACCCGATGTGATAAAACAGTACAGACTCCGCCAGAAATGTTCTAAGAACATGTCGTGGAAGCCACAAGCGGTTCTGAGAACATTCTTTGGTAGGCCTACTGGCGAGCCAGGGCGCTTCGCCACTGCTTGACTTTTAACACTCTGGAAGGTCAGGGTAACCCCGAACGGGCGATAGTAAAGTACCCCCCCCTCCTCTATTTTTTCTATCCCCGACCACAGGGATCTATCTGTGGGGAAGGCGCGGGGGCCGAACTCGATAAGATCACGGGAGAGTTGCGGGAACATCCTTTATCACCCCCGCGGGAACCGCGAACTCTATCATCCCAGGGGGCTCATTATCGCCCGAGAAGGGGTAACTACTCTCCAGGCCCCTCCCGGGGCGCGCGTCCTGGCCAGGGGATTTCGGGGCGAGCCCGGCCGTGGCGACGAGGGCCTCCTAGGAGGGCCCCCGAAAAAGGGGGAAGAACGAGGGAACGCTACAGGGCAGTTTTTAACACATGGGATTTTAATATATATATATATATATATAGGATTTTCAGTACATGATTAAGCTATGAGTGAATGTATGCATGAACTCATCGCTGCTTTTAATACGAAAGCCCCGGAAAAGAGGAAAAACGCGGGAAGGGCACAGGCGCGGACGACGACGACGACGCGGGAGGCTTGCGGTCGGAAGGTTCTTGGGGCGGTTTCGTCGGCCCTCGGTGGCTCTCCAGCCTCGGGATGCTCTCCGGCAGCTGCGCCTCGTTGTGGGCTTTCCGGGGGTGCCCGGATCGTCCCGAACGGCCGCCAGGGAGCGGAGTTCTGACCCGAAGACCAGCAGGGGTACAGTGGAGGCCAGTGGCCAGTCCACAAGAAACCTTCCACAAGAAACCCAACCCTGAGACCCCAGGACGTCCACTGCTTTTTTTCTGTGTGGGAGCGCCCCGCTCTCCACAGCACCACCATCGAAACCCAGGGCACCCTGGAGGCAAGCAGGGAGCTTCTCGGCGTGGGCCCCCACTGCCCCCCAGTGCACCCTCTTCCTCCTCCGAGGGCCGTGTCCAGGGGCACGTGCTCCGCGTCGGTGTGCCACGCCGTCGCCGTGTCCCCCGGGCGCTTCACGAAGAGCGCGTCGCCGTACAGCCGCACCCGGCGGGCGCCGAGCAGCGCCACGGCGGCGGCCCCGAGCGCGAGCGCGACGGCCCGTACCTCCGGGGAGTCCCTCCAGAGGTTGAAGTACTGCAGGAAGGAGGGCGCGCACAGGCCGCCGTGCAGGTGTTCGCCGCTGAGCCGCTCCACCTCCTCCGCAGGGCGACGGGGTCTATACACACATCCACCGCTCCCTGGCCAGGCCCGTCCTGAACCCAGCAGCGGTGTGTACGCCACGCCCTCCTGGCTTGGCCGGGAGGGCGTGTACTACACAGCTCCTGGGCCCTGGAGAGGCCCGGCCAGGGGGCAGTGGCTACAGTCGGCCCGTATCATAAGCATGCGCGGTAGGGATGCAAGGGCCTTCGAGGGCCACGTGAGCGTTTTTCGAACGACGTTGGAGAATGAGAGTGGCCAAGGATGGGCCGAAGGGGCAAGGATGCAAGGGTTAGGTCGGGCCTGTCCCCCTACAGGGGGATTTTGGACGAAAAATAAGCAATACGCAGAAATACTCAAGAGATGCCCAAACATATTCCAAAAATAGGCCCCAGACAAATGTTTGACTATTTTTGAATTTGCCCCCTGCAGACACAGGCCCGACTGAACGCAAGGGTAACTGCCCTTGGGAAGCTTGCCCATCCTTACTGTGCGGGCTGACTGTGTGTACGGGTTTCGCCGCCCGATCCTCAGTGCCCAGTGCCTGCGCCTCGTCCCAGGACAGCCCCAGCGTGGTCCGCAGCGCGTGCCTGCTCGCCTCCTGCCGCTTCCGCCGCTGCGCGGCCCCAACCTCGGGCGGCGACATCTGTGGCCACCTCTCTGGTCGTGGCTGTGGCCGTCCAGGGCCCAGGACCGGTGGACGCAGAGGCCCCTCCTGGCTGAGCCAGGAACCCCGAGATCCGGCGTTGCGAACGAGTTGCAGCCTTGCGAGAAATCACGGCCGGAGCGCCGGATCCCATCTGTCTGCGCCTGTCCTCGAGCCGGATCGATCTGTGATGGCCTGGGGCCCGAAACAAGGCAAAATCGCCGGGTGCGAACAAACCCAAAGATCCGATGCCGTGATCTTTTCGATGCGCGGTCCCCGGAGGTCTCGACCCATTCCCAAGGACCGGTGTTTCATCCTGAGTCGATGTTTGACGGTCCCTGGGCCCGGCGAGGGCCCCAAAAGAGGCCGAAATGAGCGAGAAACCTCCGTCTTGATTGTTTCAATGCGCTGGACCTCTGGGAACTGCGACGCCCGGATCTGGGGCAGGCGTATCGCCGACCCCGCCTCGGCCCAGGATCGGCCTGGCCAGGACCGACGAGGCGCCCAGCTGACGGCCCCCCCATGGTCGCACCGCGCGCCGGAGAGAGGCCACGCTCTGAGGAGGCAGCAACCCGCGCAACAGCGCGTGCCCGTCCTCGCGGAAGCCGCGGACCTCCCGGCCCGACACGGGCCGCGGCCGCGGGGGGGGCTCCTGGCATCCGGCGATGTGGTTTTTCGACCCGCCGCCCCCCGAAGGTTCGAATCCCTTCCCAAGGGGCACGTTTCCCGGGACCCTCTTTTGTTGGCCCCTTCGGTGGCAACTCACGGGCCCAATCGGCGCGTTCTCGTCGAGTACCAGACGCTGGCGCGCGCGCTAGTGCACGACGGAATCGCGAGGACACGCGAGAACTCACTGGCCAAATCGGCGTTCTCGTCGAAAACCAGACGCTGGCGCACGCGCGCTAAAGCACGACGGAATTGCGAGGACACGCGAGGTTCCCATGATTTGCGACCGACTTGACTCTGGGAGCCGCAAGCGGCCCCCGCGATCGGGCCGAAGCGAAAGCCAAACGCCACGGCCGAAGAATCGGAGGCGTCCGAGGGGGGCCGGGCGCAAATCATGGCCGGCGGCATGTGCGCGACCGGGGCCGGGGACGCAATGAAGTATAAAGAAGCGGCGTGATGACATCTGGGGAGATATCATGGCCCCCGCCATGCTATCACCCCTACCCAGACCTCCCTCGAGGGCTAAAAACATAACACCAGTACCTCGACATCCAAAATCCAGTCGAGGTTTCAAGCAGTCCAGATAGGTCTACAGGTCTGGCGGCCCATCTCTTAGCAATCTGGCAGGCCATGGTGGCCATCGCCCCCCCTCCCTGGGCCGCCGGCGAAACAAAACCACACCGCCGGAACTCCGGGCCTCCGGGCGCCCCAGCCACGAAGCGGCCTCGCCTGCCGTGACCTCGAGGAGTAATCACTCACGCGTGGAACCACGGAGAATGGCTGCCCCGCGAGCGGCGGCTCTGTGAACGGACGCTTCGCGGCAACGGACCGCCCTCCGTCCAAATCCGCTCCGTGAGGAGGGGCGCGCCCGCCGCGGGCGCGGCCGGGGCCGCCGCCGGGGCCCCGGGCGCCGCCGCGAGGCCCGCCGCCGCGAGGCCCGCCGCCGGAGCCCAGGCCGCGGCCGCGGCCAGAGCCGCCGCCGAGGCCGCCGCCACGGCCCAGGCCGCTGCCGGGGCAGCCTGGGGCGCGCGGCGAGGGTGTGAGGGTGAGGGTGAGGGTGAGGAGGAGGAGGAGGAGGAGGAGGAGGAGGAGGAGGAGGAGGAGGAGGAGGAGCAGGAGGAGCAGGAGGTGTGGAGGAGGAGGAGGAGGAGGAGGAGGAGGAGAAGGGGAGGAGGAGGAGGAGGAGGAGGAGGAGCAGGAGAGGAGGAGGAGGAGGAGGAGGAGCAGGAGGAGGGAGGAGGAGGAGGAGGAGGAGGAGGAGGAGGAGGAGGAGGAGGAGGAGGGGGAGGAGCGCCGCGCGGGCGCCGCGCGGGCCGGGGCGCGGCGACACGGCCGCGGGCGGCGGGCGGGGCCGTGGGGCGGCAGGCCGGGCCTTTCCGCCCATGGCGCCGCGGGGCGGCGGCGGCGGCGCGGCGCTCGGGCCCGTCGGGCGAGCGGCGGGGGCGTGGACAGAGGATGGGGCGGAGCGACGAGGGGAGGGAGGGAAGGGGGGCCTCCGCGCCCTTGCCTTCTCTCGTCGACGCGTCCTCCGAGGAGGGGCGACGGACGAGGTGACGAGGGTGGAGAGTAGCGCGGGGGGGGGGGGAGGGGGAAGGGCGACGGAGGAGTGAGCGAGGGGAGATGGAGAGGAGAGGGAATGGACGAGGGGGGCGAGGCGGGCGACGGGCAGGGGACGAGGAAGGATGGAGGAGGCGCGAATAATGCAGGAGGGAGGGAGGAGGGTCGGAGAGGAGGGAAACAAATGGGGAGAAGCAGGACGGAGGACGAGGAGTGTGATGATGTGTGATGACTGGTGGGGTGAGGAGGTGGGCCACCCGAAAACAAAAACGAGCTCGCATGCAGGAGTGTCGGGGGGGAGAGGAGGAGGCGGAGGAGGAGGGGGAGGAGGAGGAGGAGGAGGAGGAGGAGGAGGAGGAGGAGGAGGAGGAGGGAGGAGGAGGAGGAGGAGGAGGAGGAAGGAGGAGGAGGGGGAGGGGACAAACGGAGAAAGCTAAACAAAATGCTTCGGAGGTCCGCGCAAGGCTCTTGGATCGGCACGGGGCGGCGCCGGAGGCGCCGCCAGGGGGGCCCCGCGCCGATCTGGCACCTTCGGCAGCTGGGCGCTCGCTGCGCTGCGCAGCGAAGTGCGCACACGCGGCCAGGCTCCTCCGGCCAGGACGCCGCCGCTTGCCGCCGCGCAGGCAAGCCGACCGAACGACAGCGCGGCCGCCAAGACCGTGCCCCCACCAGCGATCGGCCTGCCGGCCTCGTGGCCGCTGGACCGAAGGCGAGCTCAGCCCGGCCAGCCGGCGAGCCAGGCCGAGATGATCGCGGCACCGGCAGCCAGAGGCTGGAGCGTCGCCGCCGCGGGCGCGCCACGTCCGCGTTCTATACGTGCTCAGGTAGGCCCGAGCCGAACCGGCCAAACGCCGAAACGGAACCGGCCCGAACGGGCCCGTCGCCGAAACAGAACTGGCGCAACCGAACAAACCCGCCTCCGACCCGAACCGACCCGAACCGGACCCTTCCTGGGAAAAGGGGGGGGTAGAAAAACAAAAGGACGATCGGGGCTCCTTCCCCGTAGCGTGCCCTCGTGACGGGAGCGTCGTCCAGCTGCTCTGCCACGGAAGCCCCGCGCACGAACTCGGACGCGAGGCGGGCGGCAATCCGCCCGCAGGCGGACGAGCCGCAGTCTGCATGGCGATGTGGGTCGGTGCTGAACTGGGCGAAGGGAAACCGACTCCAAGTCGTGCTGGACGAAGTGTGGTCGCGCCTTCTAGGGTCGACAAACAAACGTTTTCTCCGCAGCGGTCTTTGCCAGGGGGAGGGTCGGGCGGGAAGGTAAGCGGAACGTCGGCGGCGGCGTGCACCCACCAGGGCGCGTCCGCGCCACCAGCGCTTCAATCGCCCGTGTGCACCACAGTCCCTGCGCACATGACAATGCCACAATTCCCCATGGCAACGCACCGCCGCCTGTATACACAGCAGTGCCTCCGTACACCACAACAGCCGAATGCACCGAAAGACCACGTCGCTTATGTAGACCGCAGTGCCTGTGTAAACGCCGTATGTGCAACAACGCCTGTGTGCACCTCGTTGCCTACGTGCACCAAAACGCTTGTGTACAACACTAAGACCGTGTACACCGCAGCAACCATGTATACCGCAGCACCTACGCACGCCACAAGGCCTCCGCGCACCACAACGCCTGTGTACACCAGAGCGCCAAACGTGCCAACGAACACAAGAGTAGCGTGCGAAGGCTTATTGCTGGGCTCGCCACGTGTGAAACAGGCCCTTCGGCACTACGCCATGCCCGTGAACTCGGCGCCGCCGCAAGCGCGGAGCCTGCAAGCGCCACAACACGTCACAACACGCTTACGAGTACCAGCGTGCTAGTCAGCACCACGCCACGCCTGTGAGCGCATTCCGCACCCTGGCACGAAAGGGGGGATAGCCAGGCCTCCCCGTCCAGTACGATCGGTAGCGTTCCCAGGGGGTGGGGGTGGGAAACCCAGCGTTGCGCCAGGGAGGACAATGACGTTCACCAATGGAAGAGAATCGGGATGAGGAGGAGGGGGGAGGAGGATGATGAGGAGGAGGAGCAGGAGGAGGAAGAGGATGACACAGGACAGGACACCCGTATCAACGGGGTCAACGTCAACACCTACGAAGGAGCTGTGCGCGCGACTAGCAAAACATCCCCTGC